TAAAGTCCGTGCAAAATAAACTTTTATGTAGGATACAGCTCTACTTAATTCATTTACAAATGCCTGCAAGTGACCTTTCAGCTTTATTATTTCTGATACCTCTGGACTTTCAGATATATTAGAAGAGTGAACTGTAATGTAATGTTAACTTTAGCATGAGGTACATGTATAGGAACATAGTGGGGGACAATAAAATAACAAAACATGACAAAGCATATTTTACTCTGCCCCATTCTCTGCAGCAGTAGGATTGGCAGCACTCGGCTCCTGATCCCAGGGTCCAACCGTCCATGGGTACCATGCAGTGGAGTAGGCCGCATCCACATCATCTCATACATCTTCATCGTTTGGTGCCGTGGCAGCTTCATTGATTTTCTGCAGAGGAGTTGGTTGGGACCAGGCCGTGCCCAGGCCCAGATCCCTGGCTGGCTCTGGTGCTGGCACTGAGGTCACAGAAACTTCAGCGTCGTCAGTGGAGGAGCCCAGAGCAGGACCCTGGAGACAGCGTCTGGAAGAGTATCAGAGAGGGAACAGGAGGTATGAGACCAGGCCCATGGTTCCAGCTTGGACGTGGTGATTGTTGGAGTGGCAGTGATGGCAGAGTCGGGCCTGTAACCGAGACCCTGAAGACTGTAACCGACACCCTGGAGCCTGTTACAGAGACTGCAGCCAATGTCAAGCAGCGAGTGGAGAAGTAGCAAAGGGTTACAACAAGAGGGAAAGATGAAATCTATTGCAGTAAAATCTTCTTTTGCAAAGTGTTTCAATATGGCGCTGCAGCATGACAACATTTTGCGTTTCACATGCAAGAAAATACTTTTTGCTGTATTTTTACACACGTGACAATAAATCGAAATCTCCCCTCCTGTGCTGCCATCATTATCATTGTCCACCCAAGTTTTCTAATCTTCCATTCATACCTCATAACCTGAACACTAATGCTGCTTTGATTTGGTGTCTTGGACCTATGCAGGCACCAGCACTGTGTCAGCAGTGGCCAATCAAATGCAGATTTCGACAATGGCATTGATTCTACTGTAGTTTTTCTTCAATCCCAGTCAAAATGGTCTGCTCTAGTGCAGGCTCTCACACCAAGGCCCAGCACAGCTAGGAAACTGCACTCATTAAACAGAATCAAACTCCATTCAAGATTAGGATACCAACTGTTAGAGGGTGGCAAGAAATCAAAAACAGCTCAAAATTACAAACCCCTAGCGCTTGATAACTGAGAGATTGAAGCTCTTCCTCACAGCATTAAACAGGCAGAGCACAATTCATAATTCACAGAACATTTCTAGCAACTGTTTTTCCCCACTTAAAACTGCCAAGTTGGAGTTGTTTTGTCAGTGACTGTACTTGAAATTCTGCTGCATCAACTTGCAATCCTGACCAAATAGTAGAGTATAGATTGAAATAACTCTTTTGACCCATCTTGCATCCGAGCAAAGCAAGCAAATTCCCGTGTTAGCTGTAAATATTCTTCATTTTGAGACTGTGAGCCATCAATTTAATGTTACTTTCCAGTAATGCAAGTATAAGTTTAATACGCAATGTAGGTGATTAACTCTCAATCTGTACCTACTAACGATTTGCACATGCTGAGGGTTAACTAAAGTCTTTTTTCAGGCAAAACAAAATATATGGGGTCGCAGTCCTTCCCAGCTGAGGTCGTTCTTAGATACTTACTGGCCACAATTCAAAAGCTCAACTTTTTAAACTGGAGAGTACAAAATGCCCTGCGAGTCCTGTTAAAACTCTTCCTAAAATAACACCACAGTATCTGACATCTGGATAGCCCAGAACTTGACGTCAGGATAAATCATACAAAGTCAAGTCCTTCAAATTCATACATCTCAAGTCAAATGACCTTCATTTCCTTTCTGAACTGTTTTTGCATTCACTGATCATTATATTAGTATTAAATGTTTGTGTGCACTATTTTAATGCAGCCATTAACTAGCTTGCATTGAATAGGAAAGTGAAAGGCGACATATTTTAAAAGACCTTCTGATGACCAGACTCTAGCTGAGAGACAGGATCAATCAACATTTGGATAGTCAAGGTCTGATTAAGGATAGTCAGTGTGGATTTGTGCACAGGAAGTCATGTCTGACAAATCTTTTACAGTTTTTTGAAGAGGTAACCAAGAGGGTGGATGAAGGTATGGCAGTGGATGTTGTCTATATGGACTTCAGTAAGGCCTTTGACAAGGTCCTGCACAGCAGGCTAGTCATGAAAGTTAGGTCATTTGGGATCCAAGGAGAGCTAGTTAATTGGATTCCAAATTGCCTCGATGGTAGGTAGCAGAGGGTGATGGTTGAAGTTTGTTTCTTGGACTGGAGGCCTGTGACTAGCGGTGCTGGGACCTTTGTTACTTGTTATTTACATAAATGACCGGGATGTGAATGTGCAAGGCATGATTAGTAAGTTTGCAGGTGATACAAAATTAGGAGGTATCATTGACAGCGAATAAGGTTATCAAAAATTACAGAGAGATCTTGATCAGATGGGGAAATGGGTGGAGGATTGGCAAATGCAATTCAATACAGATAAATGTGAGGTGTTGCAGTTTAGAAAGTCAAACCAATGTAGGACTTATACAGTAAATGCTAAGGTCCTGAGGAGTTATATGGAACAGAGGGACCTAGGAGTACAAGTACATAGTTCATCGAAAGTGGCGTCACAGGTAGACAGGGTGGTGAAGGCGGCATTTGGCACACTGGCCAAGTATAGGAGTTGGGATGTTACAGCTGTATAAGTCATTGGTGAGGCTGCGCTTGGTGTATTGGGTCCAGGTTTGATCACCCTATTAGAGAAAAGACACAGTTAAACTGGAAAGTGTGCAAAGAAGATTTACGACGATGTTGCCAGAACTAGTAGGCCTGAGTTACAGAAAGAGGTTGGTCAGGATAGGACTTTATTTCTTGGAACTTAGGAGAATGAGGGGTGACCTTATTGAGATGTATAAAATAGTGAGGGGCATAAATAGGATGAAGGCATATAGTCTTCTTCCCCTGGGATGGAGAATTGAAAATAGGTTTAAAGTATTAGGGGAGAGACTTGAGGGGCAACTTCTTCACACAGAGAGTACTGCATATATGGAATGGGCTGCCAGGGAAAGTGGTTGAGGCATGTACAATGGCAACATTTAAAAAACATTTGGATAGGTACATGGAAGGGAAGGGTTTAGAGGAATTTGGACCAAATGTCGGCAATTGGAACTAGCTGAGTAGGCACCATGGTCAGCATAGACCAGTTTGGGCGGAAGGTCCTGTTTCCATGCTGTATTACTCTATAAATCTAGCTCTTGAATTTCCTCAATAAGTCTCTCAGCCACCAGGTCTTAGTTGTGTAGGCGCTCCTCAAAACCTGCCTCAACAGCCAACCTTTCGGTCAATTATTTGAATGCTACTTTACATGATTCAGTGCCATTTTGTCATGTAACACTCATGAAATAATTTGCATATAAATGTGCCTGTGATATTAGCAAAACAATCCAAGGCACTTCACAGGAACACTATTGACAAAATCTGACACCACACCATATTAAACATAAATCTCCAAGTTGTTATTGTTCAAAGATTCAGTTTCAAGTATATAAAAGCAAACAACCAGTGTCCTTCATTTGCACTTTTCATTGGCAGTGCACTCAAAAAACATAATTCATCTGGCAAGTGAAGAAAGCAGGAGCTTCGCTGCTCAACAGACATTAGCTGCTCTAAGTTGGTATGATGCAATGTACAAACAGTTGCTACCTTAAACTTAGAAATTGGTGGAAGTACCCATCATATGTAGTTGCTTATCCTTGACAGTAGAGGTTTACATTAGAAATCCAGAAACAACTACTTACATTTGAAATGTGTGTTTTTGGTTCTATATATTCTGTATATGCTAAATTAAACAATTGCATTTAAATAAATAGTATTTTGAATGTAATAAATTGAGAAGTTAGTTACATGGTTCAGAAGGTTAAAATGTATGTCCACAGTGAAGGTGGCAGGGAGCTCAATGAGGATGAGGAATGGTGAATCCTGCCGTGAAGTGTTATTGATGAGGATAGGCTAGTTGTTACCATATACCCTGATTCCTAAAATGCAAATGGTAAAGGGAGGCATGATAAAATAATTAGAAATCAAGGCCATTTCAGCATTCAATGGATAGCTGGCTTAAATTGCAAAAGCGAAGGGAACTCCTTGCAGATCTGTACTGGGGCCATTAGACAGCATCACATGGGTACTGTTATGAATTGAAGTTTAGCAAACCAAAGATGTACCACAAGGTGCTCATAAAAGAGAAAAGGCCAATAAAAACAATATTAGGAATGACCATTTGCAGTTTTGTTATGATCTTAAAGACCAATAACTTCTAAAAAGAAATTTGAACTTCCACTTAATAGCTAAAAGACGACAGGCTAATTTCACCTTCTAAAATTTTCAATGTAACAGAAGACTGAAAACACTATTTAAATAAACACTTTGTAGGCAACTTATATTTTAAATCACAAAACAAAATGCTCCTTGTCTCTGTTATTGTAACTTAAAACATACTTTGCAGAAATATTGAACACTGTCCTTTTAAGTAGGCATTCAGTTCTCTCGGAATTACTCCAAGACAGTCCTAGGATTAAAAGTTCCCAGGTTAAGACAGATAAAAGCACAGAAGTAAATCACTTTCATTGAAGTTTTTCCCTGGAAAGTCTATTTCTACCACAGGCTTGGCAAATCTTCCAACCTCCTTTTAACCTCCTGACATCGACCTTTTCAATCCAAGTGATGAACCACAACTTAGTGCATATAACTCCTCTGCTTCACCTGGAACCTGGCAGATGAATCTGCCTGATGATTTCAAAGCTAACTCAGAAATGCTTCTCTCTCAAAGCCCTTTTTCATGGCAATTTGAACGAGATATGCCATGTATGAAAGCAGAAATGCCGACTGAGATGCTAGCTCTCTTATTTTAACCTTGGAAGTAAATGGACAGTTTAATGCATAACTACTTACAATTTAGCATTCTCATCCATTTTCTGGGACTTTGGAGACTATCAGTCTATTCACCTTTGCACTCAGACTGCTGTCATTGCCTCCAAGTGTAAACACCATGCATCTTCTCAGTAAAACTATATGGGCCTCCTTCAATCTCTCTCAACCAACTACCCAGTTTTGTTGTCAGGCAGCCTTCAGAAGAGGTCACATTTCCCATTTCATTTCACTGTAATAATATAGTTGCAAAACATGATATAATAAAACTTATTACTGCAACAGTTTTTGCAAGTGATGCAAATGGGTTTTAGCTTGTATTGTTTCAATTATTTAATATAATATCGGTAAAACGTTAGTACATCTAGAATATGATGCTTATTATATCCAGTCATCAGTGACAGCACTGTGAGGGGTGCAAAGCAAGACAACCAGAACAACAAATCTTTGGAGCTCTTTGTCATGAATACAGGCCTGTAAGATAGGCTTCAAAAATTAGCCTTGCTTTGAAAAGTAAAACATTTGCTTAGAGGGCATATGACTGAAATTTACAAAATGATGAATGGATTATTCGTCTAGTTAGATTTTTTTTATTGATTGGTGGGATGTGGGAGTCGCTGGCTGGCCAGCATTTATTGCCCATCCTTGTTGCCCTTCAGAAGGTGGTGGTGAGCTACTTTCTTGAACTGCTGCAGTCCACATGCTCTAGGTTGATTCACAAGGCAGTTAGGGAGGGAATTCCAGGACTTTAATCCAGCGACAACAAAGGAACAGCAATATATTTCCAAGTCAGGTTGGGGAGTGGCTTGGAGGGCAACTTGAAGGTGGTGGTGTTCCCATCTATCTGTTGCCCTTATGACCACTTCCATCTAGAAGGACAAGTTTGTAAGGTGCTGTCTGAGGATCTCTGGTGAATTTCTGCAGTGCATCTTTTGGATAATACACATTGCTACTACTTAGCATCGGAAGTGGAGTGGATGCTTGTGGATGTAGTGTCAATCAAGTGGCATTTGTGTAGCGCGAATGTTATTTGCCACTAAGCCTGTATATTGTTCTGATCTTGTTGCATTTGAACATGGGCTGCTTCAGTACCTGAGGAGTCGCGAATGGTGCTGAAACCATTGTTCAATCGTTGACAAACATCCCCATTTTTGACCTTATGATGGAGGGAAGTTCATTGATGAAGCAGCTGCAGATGGTTGTAGGACACTACCCTGAGGAATGCCAGCAGAGATGTCCTGGAGCTGGGATGACTAACCTCCAATAACTAGGACCATCTTCCTATGTGCCAGGTATGACTCCAACCAGTAGACTGTTTGCCCCCTGATACCCATTGATTCCACTTTTGCTCGGGCTCCTTGATGCCAAACTCGGTCAAATGCGGTCTTAATGTGAAGGGCTGTCACTCTGGAATTAAGCCATTTGAAATGGATGCATATGATAGGTTGAAGGGTTTGTCATATGACAAGGGACTGTCTTCTGAGCAAAGGTTAAATGAATTAGGACTCTATTTACTCGAGTTTAGAAAAATGAGAGTTGAGCTCATTGACACACATAGGATTCCTAAGGGCAATTTCCTGGCAGGGTAATGAGAGGTTCTTTGCCCTCATGGGACAGTCTAGTGGGGCAGAAATAAGGGGTGCCAATTTAAAACAGAGGTAAGGGAGAACTTCTCTCAGAGGGTTGAGTGTCTTTGGAACTCCTTGCTATAGAGAACTGTAGGGACAGAGTCCTTGTGTATATTTAAGGCTGAGATAGATAGGTTCTTCATTGATTGTAAAATCAAGGGTTATGGAAAAATTGCAAGGATCGGACATGAGGAATGTCTGATCAGCCATGATCCTGAGTGGCAAAACAGGCTCGAGGGGCCGAACAGCCTTCTCCTGTTCCTATTCCTTATGGTCTTATGGGACACAAAATCGAGAGTCATTAGAGGCCAGAAAGTATTTATTTTCACAATGTATCAATCTGCGCTGGAACAAAATGAAATATGATGAGTACAAGCTGGCATATTCCTTTTAAAGGTACCTTTTTGTTTCCTAGCCTGAATCATCATTTTTTCACCACTGACATCCAATCCATCCTTACTTCCATCCCTAAGAAGTTCTGAGGTTTTGCTGCTTCTTTCCAGATGAAGGTCCACACACTTTCTACGCACTTTCATCTGACTTTGCCTGGCTGAAAGGTTCTCACATTTAATATCCCTCCCTCACCTCCTCTAAATACAAAGTGTTGCTATGGATTAGGTGGGTCCATTGGTCTTTTCGTTGTTCTACGCACACTTTTGAATTTGTGCAACAGGGATAATGTACTAGGCTTGCAGTGACATAGAATCACCCTTTTCTTAAGGTGTGGTGATCCACGATGGTGGACAATAGGGAAGCCAGATTGGAAGGACCTGAATGGGAAAGGACAGAATAGTTAGGTGCAATGGAGTACAACCTAAAGGACTACCATTGTGAAAATGAGCAGAAGGGTAGGGTAGTACAAGCAGCAACTCAGCATGTTCACCTGGACCCTATCAGCTCAACCAAGTCTGGAGGAGTCATTATGCCTAATGAGTAGTGACTGGCTTACAGATTGCTCTTTGTGAAGCAATCCAGTTTCACTCCTCTACTCTATCTCTGTGGCCCTTCATGCTTATTTCCTTCAAATGTCCACCTTACTGACATCAGAAATCATTGACTGTCTCCACTTCCAACCACACTTGTGAGCAATGAGTTCTAGATCATTACCTCTCACATGCCCTCCTGAATCTATTGTTCAAAACCTTGAATCTGTATGTCCTAAAGTAACAACTTTTATTCTTGCTTGTCTAGATTGTCCAAACCTGTCATAACCTTGTCACCTCAATGTCAAATCTCCTATTTCTCCAAGGAGGAAACACCAGCTTCTCAAATCTAACTTTGTAACAAACACTCCCAATCCCTGAAATTATTCCAGTAAATCTCTTCTGCAGCCTCTCAAGACATTCAAATCCTCGGGGCAGCACAGTGGCTCAGTGGTTAGCACTGCTGCCTCACAGCGCCAGGGACCCGGGTTTGATTCCACCCTCGGGCGACTGCCTGTGTGGAGTTTGCACATTCTCCCCGTGTCTGCATGGGTTTCCTCCAGGTGCTCCAGTTTCCTCCCATAGTCCAAAAAATGTGCAGGTTAGGTAGACTGGCCATGCTAAATTGACCGTAGTGGCCAGGGATGTGTAAGGTAGGTGATTAAACATGGGAAATGCCGTGTTATAGGGAAAGGGTAGGTCTCGGTGGTATGCTGTTTGGAGGGGCGGTGTTGACTTGTTGGGCCAAATGGCCTGTTTTCACACTGTACAGATTCGATGAAATCTATGAAAACCTTATAAAGGTAGAGAAATCAAGGCAGAGCCCACCGAAGAGGAGTATGGAAGGACCAAATGAGCTTTTGCAGCGCAATATTGATGACTGCAGTTTTAAAAGGGATGAAAAAGACCAATTTCCTAGCCAAGGGAGCAACACTGCCATCCATTAATATAGCATCTTTAACTTAGTAAATAATTCTAAAACATTTTTCATTAATGAACAAGCAAAAATTTAGCATCAAACTACAAACTCACGAGACACAGAAGCAGAAATTAGGCCATTCGGCTCATCAAGTCTGCTCCACCATTCAATCATGGCTGATAATTTTATCAACCCCATTCTTTAAAGTTTTTGAGAAGATTTGTAACTCGGGTTGTGGACGAGGTTGTAGATTTGCTCACTGAGCCGGTGTGTTTGGCTGCAGACGTTTCATCACCCTGCTAGGTAACGTCGTCAGTGCGCCTTTGTTGAAGCACTGGTGTTCTGTCCCACTTGTTATTTATATGCCTCAGTTTGCTGGGGTGTTTGGCATTACTTCCAGTTTTATTTTTCAGTGGCTGGTGTATCAGGTCCAGGTCAATGTGTTTGTTGGAGTTCCAGTTGGAATGCAAGACCTCCAGGAATTCCCTGGCATATCTCTGTTTGGCTCATGCCATTATAGATGTGTTGACCCAGTCGAATTCATGTCCTTCTTTGTCCACGTGTATTGAGACCAGTGAGAATTGGTTGTGTCTCTTGGTGTCTAGTTGGTGTTCGGGTATCCTTATTTTCAGTTTTCTTCCAGTTTGGCCCATGTAATGTTTTTCACAGATCTTGCATGGTATTTTTATGTTAGTTTCATTGGTTGTGGGTATGGGATCCTTTATGTTTGTCAGGAGCTGTTGTAGTTGGTTTGTGGGCTATGCTGATACCTAGGGGTCTGAGTAGTCGTGGTCATCTCGGATAGGTCTCTGATGTATGGTGACTAGTGTGTCTAACAGAGTTGTCTTCTTGTTAAGATCTGTCATGCAGGTAATGGCTAAATTGTACTTTCTGGGTATCCATTCCTTTTACAAACTTCGTACAAGTGCTCCTGTTCTGCTTTGCGCAATTCTGGATTGCTGCAGTGTGTTGTGGTCCTTTTGAATAATGTCCTGATGAAAACCACTGAAAAACAGAACCGGAAGTAATGCCAACCACCCCAACAAACCAAGGCACATAAATAACAAGCGGGACAGAACACCAACGCTTCAACAGGGAAGCACTGATGATGTTACCTAGCAGGGTGATGAAATGTCTGCAACCAAACACACTGGCTCAGTGAGCAAGTCTACAATCTCAACTCCATTCTCTCTCTTTCTTTCTATAACCCTCGATCCCCTTGACAATTAAGAACCTATCCATCTCAGTCTCAAATAAAACTCAATGACCAGGCCTCCATAGCCTTCTGTGGCAATGAATTCCATACTCTCTGGCTGAAGAAGTTTCTCCTTGTCTCTGTTCTAAAAGGTCTCCCCTTTATGCTATGGCTGTGCCCTTGGGTCCTAGTCTCTCCTACCAACGGAAACATCTTCCTAATGTCCACTCTGTTCAAACCATTCAGTGTCTGTAAGTTTCAATTAGAAGGACCTCATCCTTCTAAATTCCATTAAGTATAGACCCAGAGTCCTCAGATGTTCCTCACATGTTAAGCCTTTCATTCCTGGGAGCATTCTTGTGAACCTCCGCTGGACTCGCTTTAGGGCCAGTACATTGTTCCTGAGGTCTGGGGCGCAAAATTGCACACAAACTGTAAATGTGGTCTGACTAGAGTTTTCTAATGCTTCAGAAGTACAGCCCTGCTTTTATAATCTAGTCCTCTTGAAATTAATGCCAACATTGTATTTGTCTTCCAAAGTACCAACTCAACCTGCAAGTTTACCTTAAGAGAATCCTGGACTAGAACTCCCAAGTCCCTGTGCACTTCAGATTTCTGAATTTTCTCCACATTAAGAAAATAGTCCATGCCTCTATTCTTCCTATAAAAGTGCATAACCTCCCACATTGTATTCTGTACAATGGGGACTTGAGGAAGGTGATCAAAAATTTGGGCAGAAAGATTGATTTTGAGGAGCATCTTAAAGGTAGCCAATGATGTCAGTGACCAGGGATCTGCGGAGACTTTTGTCTTATGATTTTTCTATTTTGTATCTTGGGATGCTCCATTATAGATGCTGTATGAAGATAAATCGTTATTGTTGAGTAATTAGCCATTGAGAAGACAGGAAACAAAGAAACAGTAGGAGGACTTAGGGGAGGAGATCTATTACTGCTAACATGCTGCAGGCCAAATATTAATGAAACTTGGCAAAAATAGAAGTTCCTCACCTATCCCCTTGTAAGGGGCAGAATGTGCATGCACGTTTCCATTCACTGTTCCAACATCTAGCATAGTTAGCTGATGGGACGGCCTCAACTTGATCTCTGTCTGCATGTCAGCCAGGTTTATTTTTGTTGATAGAGACCGAGGGTTATTGTACCTCTGCTTGGTCTTCTGGATAAAATTATCTAGAGATTTAAAGTAGACACAATTGAAACATGAAATTCGTTCTTTCTTTTAACAAGTAAAACAGAAGTCCTTTTCATTATTTCAAAGAAATAAATTCTTGGAGTAAAGGAGCACAGAGGACGCCGTTCAGCCATTAAATCTACACTGGGCCCATGTACAGCAATTCACTCAGTTCATTATTGTCAAGAGTCCATCCAACTTCCTTAACTATTCATTGTGTACACTTCCATGATCTGTGCAGTGAGTTCAAAACCGTGCTTAGAAGACAATATTTAGTGCTTAGTGCTTTGTTGAAAGACTAGTAAACCAGAGACCAAAGTAATGTTCTGGTGACCTGGGTTCAAATCCTACCACAGCAGATGGGGTACTCGAATTGAATCAAAATCTGAAATAGAAGTTTAATGAAACCATCTAAACTGTGAAACCATTGTTGATAAAATAAAAACCTAGGTTGTCTTAATTTCCCTTAAGGAAGGAAACTGCTGCTCAATCCAGAGGTGAGGTTGAGGGTTATTGCCCTTGACACCAAGGTTGCATTTAACTGGGTGTGGTATCAAGAAGCCCGAGCAAAACTAGAGTCAATGGGAATCAGGGGCAAAACTCTCCAATGGTTAGAGTCATTCCTGAAACAAAGGAAGATGGTTGGAATTCAGCTATCTCAATTCCAGAACATCTCTGCAGGAGTTCCTCAAGGGAGTGGCCTAAGACCAGCCCTCATCAACTCTTTCATTAATAATCTTCCCTCCATCAAAAGGTCAGAAGGGGCATGGTTGCTGGTGATTACACATAGCTCGATGAAGCAGTCCATGTCCTTTTGCAGGAAGACCTGGGACAATATCCAGATTTGGGCTGACAAGAGGCAAGTAACATTCACACCACAAAACTGCTAGGCAAAGACTGTCTCCAACAAGAGGGAATTTAATCAGCACCTCTTCATATTCAATGCCATTGAATCTTGACCTTCCTGCCATCATAAGGTCAGAAGTGGGAATGTTCACTGACGATAGCACAATGTTCAGCACCATTTGCTACTCACAGAATCATAGAAGATAGGAGCAGAAGGCGGCCTTTCGGCCCTGCTGTGCTATTCTTCACGATTGTGGCTGATTGTCCAAGTCAACAACTTAATCCTGCTTTCTCCCCATAACCTTTGAACTCGTTCGCCCCAAGTGCTATAACTATTCACCATTTGAATACATTCAATGTTTTGGCATCAACTACTTCCTGTGGTAATGAATTTCACTTTGGGTGAAAAAATGTCTCATCTCCATGCTAAATCATCTATCCGAATCCTCATACTGTGACCCGAGTCTGGACATACCCACCATTGGGAACATCCCACCCTGCATCTACCCTGTCTGGTCCGGTATAAGTCTCCGAGATCCTCCCTCTCATTCGCCTGAACTCGAGCGAAAACAACAACAAATCTAGTCAATCTCTCCTCATACGTCAGACCCACCATCCCTAGAATCAGCCTAATAAACATTTGCCGCACTCCCTCAAGAGCAAGAGCAGCCTTCCTCAGAAAAGGAGACCAAAATTGCATACAATATTCCAGTTGTGGGCTCACCAAGGCTCTGTATAACTGCAACAACACATCCCTGCTCCTGTACTCAAAACCTCTTGTAATGAAGGCCGACATACCATTTGCCTTCGAGATAGTAGGAACTGCAGATGCTGGAGAATCTGAGATAACAAGGTGTAGAGCTGGATGAACACAGCAGGCCAAGCAGCATCATAGGAGCAGGAAGGCTGATGTTTCAGGCCTAGACCCTTCATCAGAAAAGGGGGAGGGGAAGGGGGTTCTGAAATAAATAGGGAGAGAGGGGGAGGCAGATAAAAGATGGATAGTGGGGAAGATAGGTGGAGAGGAAACAGACAGGTCAAAGCGGTGGGGATGGAGCCAGTAAAGGTGAGTGTAGGTGGGGAGGAAGGGAGGAGATAGGTCAGTCCAGGGAGGACGGACAGGTCAGGGGGGCGGGATGAGGTTAGTAGGTGGGAGATGGGGGTGTGGCTTAAGGTGGGAGGAGGGGATAGGTGGGAGGAAGAACAGGTTAGGGAGGCGGGGATGAGCTGGACTGGTTTTGGGATGCGGTAGGGGGAGGGGAGATTTTGAAGCTTGTGAAATCCACATTGATACCATTGCGCTGCAGGGTTCCCAAGCGGAGTATGAGTTGCTGTTCCTGCAACCTTCAGGTGGCATCGTTGTGGCACTGCAGGAGGCCCAGGATGGACATGTCGTCTGAGGAATGGGAGGGGGAGTTGAAATGGTTCGCGACTGGGAGGTGCAGTTGTTTATTGCGAACCGAGCGTAGGTGTTCTGCAAAGCGGTCCCCAAGCCTCTGCTTGGTTTCCCCGATGTAGAGGAGGCCATAATGGGTACAGCGGATGCAGTATACCACATTAGCAGATGTGCAGGTGAACATCTGTTTGATGTGGAAAGTCTTCTTGGGGCCTGGGATGGGGGTGAGGGAGGAGGTGTGGGGGCAGGTGTAGCACTTCCTGCAGTTGCAGGGAAAAGTGCCCGGTGTGGTGGGGCTGGAAAAATGTCTTTGGTGGTGGGGTCGGATTGCAGATGGCGGAAGTGTCGGAGGATGATGCGTTGGATCCGGAGGTTGGTGGGATGGTACGTGAGGACGAGGGGGATTCTTTTTTGGTTGTTATTGCGGGGATGGGGTGTGAGGGATGAGTTGTGGGAAATGCGGGAGACACGGTGGAAGGCGTTCTCGACCACTGAGACGGGGCGGGGGGGGGGGCAGTTGCGGTCCTTGAAAAACAAGGACATCTGAGATGTACGGGAGTGGAATGCCTCATCCTGGGGGCAGGTGCGGCGGAGGCAAAGGAATTGGGAATAGGGGATGGCATTTTTGCAGGAAGGTGGGTGGGAGGAGGTGTATTCTACGTAGCTGTGGGAGTCGGTGGGCTTGAAGTGGATACTGGTTTCTAGGTGGTTGCCCGAGATGGAGACAGAGAGGTCTAGGAAGGTGCGAGAGGTATTAGAGATGGTCCAGGTGAACTTAAGGTTGGGGTGGAAGGTGTTGGTGAAGTGGATGAACTGCTCGAGCTCCTCGTGGGAGCACGAGGCGGCGCAGAGACAGTCAAAGTAACGGAGGAAGAGGTGGGGTTTAGGGCCAGTGTAGGTACGGAAGAGGGATTGTTCCACGTAACCTACAAAGAGGCAGGTGCCAATACAGTCATCAATGTTTCACAAGCTTCAAAATCTCCCCTCCCCCTACCGCATCCCAAAACCAGCCCAGCTTGTCCCCACCTCCCTAACCTGTTCTTCCACCGACCTCAAGCCGCACCCCATCTCCTACCTACTAACCTCATCCCGTCCCCTTGACCTGTCTGTCCTCCCTGGACTGACCTACCTCCTCCCTTTTCACAGGAAAAAAGTAGATGGGTTACAGTCAGGGGACGGAAAGGGAACAGGCAGACAGTGCAGGAATCCCCTGCGGCCGTTCCCCTCAAAAACAAGTATACGGTTTTGGATACTGTTGAGGGGGGGGGACTTACCAGGGGTAAGCCATGGGGTACAGGTCTCTGGCACAGACTCTGTCCCTGTTGCTCAGAAGGGAAGGGGGGAGAGGAGGAGAGCATTAGTCATTGGGGACTCCATAGTTACGGGGACAGATAGGAGATTCTGTGGGAACGAGAGAGACTCGCGGTTGGTGTGTTGCCTCCCAGGTGCCAGGGTCCGTGATGTCTCGGATCGTGTTTTCAGGATCCTTAAGGGGGAGGGGGAGCAGCCCCAAGTCGTGGTCCACATAGGCACCAACGACATAGGTAGGAAAAGGGATGGGGATGTAAGGCAGAAATTCAAAGAGCTGGGGTGGAAGCTTAGAGCTAGAACAAACAGAGTTGTTATCTCTGGTTTGTTACCCGTGCCATGTGCTAGCGAGGCGAGGAATAGGGAGAGAGAGCAGTTGAACACGTGGCAGGAGGGAGGGATTCAGATACCTGGATAATTGGGGCTCATTCTGGGGTAGGTGGGACCTCTACAAACAGGATGGTCGACACCTGAACCAGAGGGCTACCAATATCCTGGGGGGGAAATCTGCTAATGCTCTTCGGGAGGGTTTAAACTAATTCAGCAGGGGGACGGGAACCTCAGTTGTAGCTCCAGTGTACAGGAGGTTGAGAGTAGTGAGGTCATGAATAAGGTTAAGGTCGCAGGAGTGTACCGGCAAGCAGGAAGGTGGTTTGAAGTGTGTCTACTTCAATGCCAGGAGCATCTGGAATAAGGTGGGTGAACTTGCAGCATGGGTTGGCACCTGGGACTTCGATGTTGTGGCCATTTCGGAGACATGGATAGAGCAGGGACAGGAATGGTTGTTGCAGGTTCTGGGGTTCAGATGTTTCAGTAAGATCAGGGAAGGTGGTAAAAGAGGGGGAGGTGTGGCATTGTTAGTCAAGGACAGTATTACGGTGGCAGAAAGGACGTTTGATGAGGACTTGTCTACTGAGGTAGTATGGGCTGAGGTTAGAAACAGGAAAGGAGAGGTCACCCTGTTGGGAGTTTTCTATAGGCCTCCGAAAAGTTCCAGAGATGTAGAGGAAAAGATTGCAAAGATGATTCTGGATAGGAGCGAAAGTAACAGGGTAGTTGTTATGGGGGACTTTAACTTTCCAAATATTGACTGGAAACGCTATAGTTCGAGTACTTTAGATGGGTCAGTTTTTGTCCAATGTGTGCAGGAGGGTTTCCTGACACAGTATGTAGATAGGCCAACAAGAGGCGAGGCCACATTGGATTTGGTACTGGGTAATGAACCAGGCCAAGTGTTAGATTTGGAGGTAGGTGAGCACTTTGGTGATAGTGACCACAATTCGGTTACGTTTACTTTAGCGATGGAAAGGAATAGGTATATACCGCAGGGCAAGAGTTATAGCTGGGGGAAAGGCAATTATGAGGCAATTAGGCAAGTTTTAGGATGCATAGGATGGAGAAGGAAACTGCAGGGGCTGGGCACAATTGAAATGTGGAACTTGTTCAAGG